AAAATGAGAAAAACCTTTGCAAGATTGCCAAATAAACGACGCACAAATCGAGAAACACGAAAGAGCGCACGTATTTTTTTTCAAATTTAAAAGCACTAAGGCGACTAATGGCGAAAAATCTTACGCTTCCCCCCTCTCACTCTTTTTTTCTCTCTCTCTCTCTCTCAGCTCGATGAAGCATCATGTTGCGTCGCGTCGCGGGCAATTCGAGCGTGTGTCGTTTCCGCGCGCGTCAATTTGCCGGAATGATGTTTATTCAAACGTCCGAAGTGACGACGCGAACCGCCGCTCACCACCGCTTACTCCAAGCGTGACGCTTTTTCTCACATTTAACGATTACTCATTCCACTCAGCGATCATTCGATCCGTCTCTCCGCCAGAGCGTCGTTTTCCGCAGAACACACAGAAAAATGACATTCTACTCTTTTTGCTAAGAAAAACGATATTATTCAGTTTATTTTTCTTCTTTTAAATAATGATTATCTTCAACAAAAAATATTTTCTCGATAATAGTCTTGAAAATATATTTGTCGTAATATATTTTAGAAGAGCTTATTATCATTTTTTTCGGGGAAAAGTTGCCAAAATCGTACCTCGTTAAACGTACTTGATTTTTTAATATTTGTAACACGCACGCACAAAATAAGATATAATCCGAAAATATTATCTTTTATATTTCTCGTTGCTTACTTCTTTCTTATATTTTACCGTTAGATGTCATTCATATCTAATAATAATAAAGAAATTGATGAGGTACGATTTCGGCAACTCTTCCCTGCTCAAAAGAAGAATTTATTTTCTTTGCAAAATGTCATGGAATCTTATCGAAGAAAAAGTTGGTTCGACTCTGTACAGTAAGCAAACCAAATTTTCCTTTTAATTTAATATTCGCGATTATAAAATGTCAAACTTACTACATAGAAAAAAGAATAGACTTTTATTTTGAAAATATCTTTATGTTTGATATTTTAATCTTTAAATGAGATTATATAGTGTTAAAGGAAGATAAGTTATTTGCATTAATACCTTTTGTATGATTCAAGGAAGAAAAACATATCTTTATTATTCAAAAATAATTTTCACGAATAAAAAGCACAAAACAGTACATTACGAATATTATGTTTTTAAATGTCGGAAAAAATATCACTCTATCATCAGAACAATCATATCGCACTTCTTATGAAAAAAAACTATTATAATATTCAAATAAAATTCATTTTTTTTGTTTTTAAAATTTAAAACTTAGAAAACTTGTAACAAAATTATATATCGTTGCTCATACATAAAATAATAATTGATAATTTGAATGTATTAGATTTAAATGGATACAAATTTTCTTTTTTTTTTTGTACAGTATCGGGATGTATTTTGAATAAATCTGACGCTTATGATGAATTTATGATGAATTTGCGGATATGCAAATTTATGAAATACTTGAAAGAAGTAATATTCTCCACAATGTGTATTTTTCTACGTGTACTTATTACACCGCGTGCACGATATTCGATCGTCGCGTTGTGCCGCGTTGATGCACGAACAAAAATTGCGCGAAACTCGAAACTCTAACGTCCGCTATAGACGTGAGACACAGTTGTTTTATAGTTCTGCGGACACACGTTGCGGAGTTTGTCAATTATGAAAAAGGTCGTGGAGTCGATCGCTGGGTAAGGACAGCTTGACGTGTCTAACAGCGGTCAGTCTGACATCCCGGCTGGCCCGCGGAAGTGCCGGACTCGCGTTGCTGCTCGTTGCTCGTCGGCTCTTCTACCAGACTCGTCATATCGTCCCTTCCGCTCCATTTCTTCACCCTACTACTACTACTACTTCTTCTTCTTCTTCTTCTTCTTCTTCTTCTTCTTCTTTTGGACTCTTTGTTACGAGAGGATCACCGCTGGACCGGTTCGATCACTCTCATCGGTCGCAGTCTCGAGGAAGATCGCTCAGTCGGTTGACCTGCGCGTCGCCTTCGGGTCGTCTTCGAGCAAGATGAGTGTCTTCTTCCTCGCCAGGCTGATTCTGCGATCGCTAAGCGCCAAGTGGCGGCGACAGTCGAAAAGAGGGTTCTTCAAGAAGTATCGATACCAGCGCGGTTTCTATTGAAAGGAGAAATTCCGCCCATCCTCTGCCGGACTGCTCGTTGCGGACGCCCCTCTCGCGCGTTCGCCTCATTGTGCATCGTTGCGATCCGGCCGCTTGTTAGAGCAACCTGACGTGGCTCATTGAACCCATGAGATGTGGTTATTCTCGCGGCACGAGAACAGGTCGAAACTGGTTCATTAGTCATCGCTGTGTTTTTTCGTCCCGTTTGACTTTGCCGCGTCGATAGCTTTTCTCCTTTTTGTGTGTTCAATTCCCCCCCCCCC